GGAAGGAAGGAAGGAAGGAAGGAAGGAAGGAAGGAAGGAAGGAAGGAAGGAAGGAGTGCTGAGGTCCCACTCTGTAGCCACAGGCTCACGTCTCTGGGTGGCTTCCCTCGGCTGTGGGTCTGCATCTGCTGCTGGACAGCCAAGGGGCTCCCGGGGTCCTGAGGCTGTGATGGTTTCCATTGTGGCAGATGCAGACCCTGAATGACCCCGACCAAGACCCTCCAGCCGGGCCGCATCCCCTGCGCAAACTGCGCTTTGCCAGCCGCAGCTCGGTGCAGCTGGTGCCCTGGGAAGACCTCTCGCTGGCCACCACCTACGGCCTGCTGGCTGCCCTGATGGAGTGCGCGAGCGTGGGGACCCTCTGCGTGGCTGCCTCCATGCACAGCTGGATTTGGGTGGAGCCCCACGAAACCCACCTGGGACCTCAACCGTTCGTGATCTACGCGTTTGGGGTGCCCTACAAGATGAATTCCTCGGGGAATGTCGCAGACACACGTAAGGGGCATGCTCTTGCACACCTGTTGGCACGATGGAGAGTCACTAATTAGGAGGACACCTGGGATAACGGTCAAGCCATCTCAGATATTTGGGGGTGATTTCTGAAATGGCAAAGTGGGACGCATTGCAACCTCTGGGCTGGCCTCGGAACGGCTGGGGAGGTTCACAGTGCATGAAAACATAATGGGAGGGGCTGGATTTATTCATTGTTCTTTTCCTGTCCCAAGCCTTCCTGGAAGTGGGATGGGGTGGCGATGATTGCAATATAAATAACTAGACCCCAATCATAACAAAATATAAGTCCCGCAGACCTGCTGAACCAGTCACTTGACTGGGCAACCATTTCCAGGCAGGGCTTCCTGGATGATTTGCTAACCTTGTAGAAAAGCCATAAACTTATCTCGGATCAAGAAAGATTTTGTAGCCAAGTCTCCCCACCTGGGTGCCCCAACCTAGGAAAATCCAGTTATTGTCTTCTAATTGGGGCAGGAAATCATGAGACCATCACCTTGAAAACACCTCCATCGCTTTGAAAGTGGTCCGTTGTTATTACCTAACCCTAACCCTAATCCTAATCCTAACTCTTCTT